GTAAATCACAAATAAATTCACTAACATTTCTGATGCTGGTTTATTCATTAAACTAAACACAGAAGTTATGCTGCCATTTACAATGTAGAAGCTGGCAGAATAAAACCCTGTCATTAATTGCAAATAAATAAAAATTAAAAAAAACAAAAGCTGGGAAGAGCTTTAAGAGTAAGAAAGAGTCAAATAAAAGTCACAACTTTTCTTGAATCCTTCACAGAGCAGCTGAGTTGCCTGAAATCCAAGGAGTTAACCACACTCCCTATCCCGACTCCACCTGTGTACCACTAGGGCAAGTCTCACCTGCAGGAAGAGTGAGAAAGGCAAGCAAGTAGGAAAAAAAAAAATCAGTTAAAATTTTTAGGCTAGTGTTGACAGTATAAATCTCCTGGGAGATCTAAACACAAGCAGAGGTCAACTCAATTTGTAGGGCCTTTCCACAGACCTCCACCAGATACTCCTGGGAAATACTGGAGCAGGCCAGGGCCCTAGAAATCCTCCCTTGGGTGCTGTCTAGGAGGAAAACGGCCAAGGCAACCAGAAAAGCAGAAACCCTGAAACCCTCAGGTAAACACCCATTTAGTGTAGTGGAAGGAAAGAAGGAAAAAAAAAAACAAAACACTGAAACGTCTACCCTTGTGGGTAGGGCAGGAAACAGTCCTGCCTGCAGTATCCTCCACCAATAAAGATGGGGAAGGGACCAGACATTCTTGCACAAGATCTGCAATGGGTACATACCAGGGGACAAGGGACAGAAATATTGAGAAAATCCCATCCCCAAGGTCTAGCTGCACTGGGCCTACTTAAGATGAAGGCTGGATTTGAAAAACAGAGAATCCCCCACACACTTATCACCGGCCTAACGAGCACTAAGCAACGGTGATCCATTACTAGGGGAGGAGCAAGAGTATGGAGAGAGACCCCCCATCCCCCACCCCTGAATGCTCTTCGCCCATAGTTGCATAGACAAGGCAGAAAACCGATCATATACCAGGAATACTGAGAAAAACCTTTCCGCATCCCAGCCCCCACCCAAAGCACAAAGTGACAGTACAGAAATTTGAAACTGATGATAACCATAGCAACAACAAAACCAAACCCTATATAACTGACTGGACTGATTCAAGGCTATGACAGAAGGGGCATGCACATTTCCAGGAATTAATATAATGTACTTCAGTCTCAAATGTTCTACACAAATATCTGGCAGTCCATAAAAAAAATGTTGAAATACTTTAAGAGACAAGAAAAATAACCTATTGTAAAGAGAGGAACAGACCCAGAGTCACAGATGACACAGTGGCCTTTTTTTTAACAGAGTCTGCTTTTGGCAAACCATGAGTATATACATATATGCACATGCATGGAGGGGTGGGAGGATTCAGAATGATAAGAGAAAAAAGCAGGCACAAGACCTTCTACTGTCTCAGATCCTGATTTAGAACGTTAGCTATGAAAAAACTTTTTTTTACTATATTATTAAGTCAATAGATTAAAAAATTAAAACCACAACTATAATTATGAATACTATTATTCCCTTCAGGCTACTGAATAACTCATTGTCAGGCGTGAAAAAAATTGCTAATAATTTTTCATTTTTTAAGTATGCATACTTCTAATACCATGCTTTTTAGATTGGTGAAATTTTAAAAGTTGTACTTAGAATTTGAAGATATAAAATGATAAATTTCTTTTTTTTTATTTTTTCAAATACATTTGTCTCTGCCTTTTCTATAGGATAAAAAAAATTTAAAGATAAAATATTCTCAAAATAATTAATATCCCTAATAAACAAATACTTTAACAAAACAGGGAAAAAACCAAACAACCCAATAGAAACATGGAGAGAATATGTAAATTAGAAATACACTGAAGAAGCAAAAATAAAGACTGATGATATCCAGGGTTGTTAGAAATATGTCATTTACTGCTGGGTAGGGATGTAAATTGGCACAATCAACACTTCTCCAACTTGTTAACAACAAAAAAGAATCTAGGTACTATTCACATTCAAAGGAAGCCTCCTTTCTAGTTATATCTCCACTACCTCTCTCTATATCCTATATTCAAGTCATATCAAACTGTGTAACATCCATATCATTTACTTTCATGTCTCTATACCACTGAAATTCCCCTGCAAAACCCTATCTTTCTAAACCCAGTTCAAATATTTCTTGCATTACTCTCTTCCAGGTAGAATTAACTAACTTGTCATCTGTGATCCATTGCACTTGGTCCATTCCTCCACTATAACAGTTCAATCATATTAAAGTTATAGCACAGATAGATGTTAATTTATAATATGTAGAGAGCTCCTACTAATAAACAAACAAAAAAGTGGAAATAGAACAGAAGCAGAAAATTCACAGGAAATAAAAATATAAATGGTTCTTAAACATGTGAAAAGATATACAACCTCAGTAACAGAAGAAATATACTGGTTGGTATGGCTCAGTGGATTGAGTGCCAGGCTGCAAACCAAAGGGTCACCAGTTCAATTCCCAGGCAGGACACTCTGGGTTGTGGGCCAGGTCCCCGGTAAGGGGCGTGTGAGAAGCAACCACACATTGATGTTTCTCTCCCTCTTTTTCTCCCTCCCTTCCCCTCTGTCTAAATATAAATAAAATCTTTAAAATTTCTTAAAAAAAGAAATATAATTTAAACCATACAGATACCATTTATTACCTATCAAATTGGCAACAATTAAAAATTTTGACTACACTGCATATTAGAAAATAGGCATTCTAATACTACTTGCTGGTATTGACATGAACTGGCAAGGTCTCTAGTAAGTATTAAGATTTCAATTTGGTATTACCTATCAAAATTATAAATGCATATATCTTTTGACTCAACAATTCTTTTTCTCAGAATTTATACCACAAACATATTCATAATATTTGAAAAGATCTATGTTCATGGCTATTCTCTGCAAGATCACTTGTAATAGCAAAAGATTGAAATGGGAAATGTGCATCAATAAGAAAATGGTTAGATTATGGTAAATTCATACAACGAAATATACCCATGTTCACTGCAGCATTATTTCCAATAGCCAAGACATGGGAGCAACCTAACTATCAATCAATGGACGGATGAATAAAGAAAACGCAGTATATACAGGGTGAGGCAAACATAGGTTAACAGTTGTCTGTACGGAAAATAATACACTAATTAATAAGAGTACAAGAATAAACTCTGTGTTTTGCATACTCACAACTGTAAACCTACTTTTCCCCACCCTGTATACAATGGAATATTATTAAGCCATAAGAAAAGTAAATCTTGCCATTTGCAACAATATGGGTGGACCTTAAGAACATTATGCTAAGTGACGTTAAGTCAGAAAAAGACAAATACCATGAGCTCACTTAAACGTGGAAGGAAAGAAAAAAAGAGAGAACAAATTAGTAGTCACCAGAGGCATAAAGTGAGGGAAAGGCAAAATGGGTGAAGATGATCAAAAGGTACAAACTTCCAATTATAAAATAAGTAAGTAATGGAGATGTAACGTACAGCATGGGGACTGTAGTAAATAATACTGTATTACATATTTTGAAATTTGCTGAGAAAGAAAAATCTTAAAAGTTCTCATTACAAGAAAAAAATTTGTAACTCTGTATAATAGATGTTAACTAGCCTTATTGTGGTCAACCTTTCACAATATATACAAACATCACACCATTATGCTGTATACCTGAAACTGTCACATGTTAAATGTCACTTATAACTCAATCAAAAAAAAAAAAAAAAAAGACTAGACAGTTTCATCTGGACAATCTCTGAGATATGTGGTTAAGTTAAAAGCAAGCAAGAATAGAACAGGGTATTCAGGTAAACAGAACTATTTTCCTCTTTTCACAAGAATTCTGACATCAAATGCGTGAGTTTTTTTCCACACCATCCAATTCTCTGACATCAGCCAGGTACCCTATAATTCAATACAATTCTCACACTATCTACCTGGTTTAGCATTAGATCCCACCAGTTACAGGCTCAGTCCCACAATACTGCCCCTGCTGCAGATGCCAATCACAAGGCCTGGCTTCCAGTACTTCTGACCAATAGGCTATAATTCAGGGTGTACCACAATCCCCTCCACAGGCTTCATAATTTTCTAGAATAGCTCACAGAAGTCAGAGAAACACTTTCTTAACGTTTACCAGTTTATTATATAAAAAAGGATATGACAAAGGATACAGATGAATAGCTAGATAAATGGGCGAGATTGAAAAGGCTCTTTAACACAAGAGCTTCTGTCACCACTGGGTTTCAGAGTATCACCCTCTGACAAGTAGATTATGTTCACCAACCCAGAAACTCTTGACCCCTACAGTTCAGAGGTTTTTATGGAGGCTTCATCATGTAGGCATGATCAATTACGAACTCAATCTACAGACGTTCTCCCCTCCGTGGAGGATAGAGAGTGGGGCTGAAAGTTATGAACTTCTGATCATACCCAATTTCAACCACACCCAATTTAGGAGCCCACCAAGAGTTGCTTCATTAGTAAAAAGGTGCTCCTATCGTCCAGGAAATTACAAGGGTTTTAGGGGGTCTGTGTTAGGAAATGGGTCAAAGACCCAATATTAGGACAAAAGATGCTCCTAGCATCCCTATCACTCAGGAGATTTACAAGGGTTTTAGGAGCTCTATGTCAGGAACTGGGAGAGACCAATACATGTATTTATTACATCACAAAATCTGAGCCCTCAACATTTACTAGCTCTCTGACCTTGGGCAAGTATTATATAACCCACTGGTGCCCTCCTTTTTGTCTCGAAATGAGTATAAGAACAATGGCTTGTACATGAGGCTGCTGTAGAGACTAAATTCATAATTGAATGTCAGTGTTCAATAAATGTTAAGTATTATTATAATAAATCATATCTTGCAAAGAACCGAGATGACAGACTTTTACAACTATATGTCCCTGTATCTGTTTATGGAACCAAGTATATTTTTTAATCAAAATTTTAGAAATAACTAAAAAAAATACTTACTTCCTAGCAACAGCAAAATGTCTGTTGGGCACCTGAATGCATGCAGAACAAGGATAAAGAGGTGTCTGATAAGTCATCTTGGAAAGGTTATGCCTTTGATGTATCAAGACTTGAAAGGAAAAAAAATGTAAATTATTAATATTAAATAATTTTTAATCAGTTTCCCAAAACAAAAACATTCAATATTTTGCAATTCTTAACGATTCTTTAAAAACTGTAACAATGGACACTCCACTTCTTGAAACTAAAGCCAAGGAAATATAACTAGTTGAACAATTCTGTCTTCACTTATTTTTAACTTAAATCTAGTTCAGGCTGTTAGCTATATTATTACAGAATATGTATCCTGAGTTTTTAAAATAATTTAAATTTTATTCATTTTCAAAAACAGATTAATACATTCACAGAGCTGTTCAAGGTACTTCTGAAAGATAATAATAAAGTGAAGAGAATTGACTTACCAGAGATCAAGGCTTGTTATAAAGCTATAGTAATTAATAGACTATGGTATTGACAGAAGTATAGAATGATGAACTAATAAAACAACAAACAGCCCAACAAGATATGGATATTTGAAATATGTAAAATGGGGGTGATGCCTCCACCTAAAGATCTACCTTAATAACAATACATATCACTGTGCTTCAAAAACACAAAACCAAAAACAACTGTACCAAAAAAGGGATGTCATCCTAGCCTTTAACTGGACCTTACTAAATGCTGAGAGGAACTGCTACCAATAAGTATGTCTGAAACAGCCGCCAAATGACAAATGTTGACCCAAATCAGGCAACGTCTTTGGAAGTTTATGAATTGCAACGGCCTGCAACTATGTAGTACCCTGAAGCACTAGCAAGCATTTTAAAAATGTTAACATTTACCGTTGTGAGACACACCTTTTCCTTAAGAGAACTAACTTCGCGTATTCAATCCTCCCCCCAACCCCAAGCCCACAGCCCCAGTATCAGAGAGAGAACCCTGTCCTCGCCTCTGTCCTTACGGGGGGCTGAAGGAGTGTCGTTGTATATCCCCCTCCCATTCCACTCCTGAGGTGGACGGCGCCAGAAAGGAGTGAAACCTCTGAAAATGTCACTTTTCAAAAGCAGTGACCCTTTGGAGAACTTAGAGGCCAAAGACAGCAGGAGGCTTTTCCTGTCCCCAGTGCAGGTCCGTGCGTAGGAGAGTCTGGCTTGCACTCTGCTACAGCAGGAGATTTTGCGCCATAAGTCTTTTCCCCCAAGCCCGCCAAATACCTTACTTTACATTTACCTCTACCGAGGCATCTTACGGCCGCCGCCATGTTGACCATTCCGGATTGTGTTGATAAAATTGGTCCTACGCTACAACTTGGAAGAAATTTTGAAAGGGTTCCCTTCCGGAATTGGCAGAGAAGGAAGGAATTAGAAGCTGCAACAAAGGGGCCGGAATCAACAGACGCTTTCTTGCCGTTGGGGGAGGGCACTGGACGCCAGCGCCCCGTGGCGGTGTTACCCTCAGTCCTCCGTGCTGCCCAGGAACCGGTGTTTCATGGTTCCGACAGAGCAGCTTAAACACGCTCAGGGAAATCGGCTCTTCCTACATCCCAATCAGTAACAAACTTTAACTCAGAGCACAATCGGCGGGGAGGGGTGTTTTAAATTAATCTTAACATTAATAAGCACTACGTTTTTCCCCTGCTGGCAAATTGTGGCACTATGATCAACTGTATAGTAATACTTAACAAATTTATATAACACCTCTACCTTTAATATGACAGAGCCGAGACCTACGCACAGGTGCTTCTGATTGAAAAAATAGAAAAGAATCAGCATCCTTTCCATTACGTCACAGCTGTCAGTCTGATTTATCTGAAACAAATCTGGACACAGATTATATCACTTCCCAGTTCAAATAAAACCCTTCAGTGACTGCCTCTGGAGCTGCTTCTGGCCTCCACCTACCTCGCCAGCCTCAATCCTCCTGCCAACATCCTCCCCTCCTCCCCCTCCCTCAGGGTTTCTCATCATCGCACTGTTCATTCTGTCCCTCTGTTTGGAATATCTTGTACCACATCACCGAGGTAACCTTTTATTTTTTTAAGATTTCAGCTAAGACTCTTCTCACTGAAGAAGCCTCCCTCCTTTCTTCCCAGGCTGAGTTATGACCATCCCTTCATGATTTCATACAGTACCCAGGGTTTATATCTGGTTTTGTTTGTTTTAAACAGTTTTGTTGATATTTAATTTACATACTATACAATTCACCAATCTAAATTGTACAATTCAAACATTCAGAGTTGTGCAACCATCACCACAATATCTCTGTTTTCCCCAGAAGTATGAGCTCAAGGTAGGGAGAAATCATGTCTTACTCATTTTTTTAACCTTAGCACATTGTATAGTGCCTGGCACATAGAAGGTTCTCAATAAATGTTTTTTGAATAAGTGAATATGTGTATCCATGAATTATTAACTCAGAATAGCAAGCCTGAAAAAATGAACTTGTTTCCATGAAGCTGCCTACAGGAAATCAGACTGGGCCAAAGTTAGGAATTTCACAAATGCTTTATTTCATATTTATGTATTGTTCTTATCTACACGAAGAAAAATATTTCTAATTAATTGTTCTGTCTTGTTAACACCTAACCAGATACTACAAATGTTCCACACCAATTTATGGATATTATACTACAAAAAATTCAAACAACTTAAACCTACCCTTATGTTTTCCCTTTGTCCCTCATTTTTTCCCTTCTTTTCACAAACCAAAACAACCATTGCTCACATGATACTTAAAAATGAACTTCATTTGAGGATATACCAGAATTGGAGCAAGTCCACCAAATCCATTCAGAGAAACACGAACACCTATGTTAGAGGTGCTGGTCCTGACTCTACATCCCTCCCTTTCTACAGCTGGAGCCAGTTGGCCCCCATCTGTGTACTTCTTAATGTCTCCTGTTAAAACAAGAGAATTTAAATATTTAATATTTGAACTCTCCCAGTGTGCTTGTAGTAGTAGCCTTATTAAAGCAATGTCCTATGGAAATACAGCTTACCTAATTGCCCCCATTGAACACCAGAATTTTATGACTCTAGTCAGGTGGGGTCCAGAGTTCAGTTATGTGTGTGTGTATATATATATATATATATATATATATATATATATATATATATATATATATAAAAATATACACAGAGATTATTTAGCTTGAGACTTACAAAAATGAAAAAAAAAATCCACACTCTGAAATGGGAACTCCAAGCCTCTAAATATTTAATACATAATGTGGTTCTCATTGAAGAGAGGCAGTAGAACATTCTGGTTAAGCAGTGGCATTCGGAGGCTAAACTTCCTGGAACTGAAGCCCAGTATCATCACTTACTAGCCATGTCACCTAGGGCAAGTTACTATACCTCGCTGAGCTTCAGATTCCTCATCTATGATATGGAGTTAATAATAAGATAATTTATTAAGGTACTTATTACAGTACCCAGCACAGAATAAACACTCATTTTATTTAATCTTAGATGTTGTCATTAGTAGGGAAACAGTGAGAGTTCTTATCTAGAAAGGCAAAATGAATAAGCTATTCTAGTCTAGTATCCCTTCCTCCAATATTTGCTTATTTTTTAGTATGATACATGCTATTTTTGCTCCTAAATGTGCTAGGATGTCACTTTCTTTATATCAAAACTTTTATTTGCAGAGAAATCTTAAGACTGTGTTTATGCACTTCCTCAAAGTTCACTTTAAAACTGCTTTTCCCAGTTGGTTTCTAAGGAGGCTTACACTCTCCAGGAGTCTTGGCAGCATGTCAGCTGTCTGACTGCTTGGCTAATTTAAATATTTGCCTAGCCCTATGTTTCTCTTGATCTGTGTTTTCTGCCTTCCTCAGCCATCTCCCAGTTGAGCTGAAAACTTCATCGCAAGAAGTGTCACTTCTAATTGGGGGTTAAGGTCAAAACTGGGTTTTCTTATTGGATAAAAATAAGAATGCCATGACACTTTCTACTTCAGCAGTGTGAATCGGAATCACCAAGGAAACTTGTTAAAACTCCACTCCACAAAGCTTTTGATTCAGTAGACCTAGGACAGGCCCATGATTCTGCATTTATAAATAAGTTTTCAGGTGATGCAGATGTACTGGTCCAGGGACCACACTTAAAATTCCACTCTCTATGTAATACTATGAAACATTTTCCTCTATCCCTACCATTAACTTTGGAAGGAATTGTTTTGTTTAAGAATTTAATGCTCCATATACTATAGGCAATAAAAACATGAATTTGCACACATTGTGTGTTTAAAACCTATCTTCTCCTCTACACAACAACTGCTACTCTACAGCTGGATTTCAGCTCCAAAAATGTCCAGCTGTCAGATGGGCAAATTCCCATTGTTTACCTGTCTGTCCATCTGGATTTCAGATATTACCAACTCCTAGATTTCCTTCCTTCCTTGGTCTTACTTCAGACTCAGATTATTTTTTCATAAAGAAATGACTAGAATAATGGTTTATTAGTCATAAGGCTGTAGAAAGAAATTGGAACTCATTTTGTCTGTCTCCCCCATCCATATATGGGAGCTTCTCTGTTCAAAAACCCCTGGAAGACTATTTTAATTCCAGATTGAATTGGGAGATTTAGAACTGTACAATGGAATTGCTGGTAAATGTTTAACAACTGGCTCCCAGTAAAAAAGAAATGAATTTGTAGCATTTGCCCATCTCCATGGTATAAACAGTCACACAATGGCTAACTTCAAGCTATCAAACATAAAATCAACTAACTCACAGAATTTCTGACAACTTAACATTTGGTTCTCACAAGGCTATAGCACACTACTGGAACTTTGCTGATAAAAGCCTTCAGTGACTTTCAGAAGGACTAAACCAAATCAATTCATCCTAGAGCTACACTTTTCAAACTTCACTGGATGCGAATCACCTGAGAATCTTATTAACATGTAGATGCTAATTCAGTAGGTCTGGGATGAAGCCTTAGATTCTAATTTCTAACTGACTCTTAAGTTCTGTTTATGCCACTGGTCCATGGGTCATACTTTGAGTAGCAGGATCCTAGAACACATCATAAAGCAAAATTCATATTTTTACTATTCATCCCAAACTAGAACCCTTTGAATAGGCTTTTTCTTCCTCATACAAAGAATAAACTTAGGTGAATCCCCACATTTCTAGGTATAACCTCCATGACCTCTAACTTTCCCCGGAGATACTAGAAACATCAATAATTTCCTGCCCTGCCGTATCTGCTTCTGGTAGAAATTTCCTTCTCCTATGTAAGCAAAATTCCCCAGCCCCAGCTATTTGGATCAGTGGAAGCCATCTGACCCAAGAAAAGTCCATCTATTCTGTGGCCAGTGATCTGGGTTTGACAAGAAAAGTTAGGCCAATAGGTCTCATGAAAATGGAATGAGAAAATGAAAAACTGGGGGAAAAAAAGAAAGATAACATTTTCTTTGTTGTGGGAGGACTCAAGTTGTAAGGTCATGGAGTAGACTCAAGGCTAGAGAGGACTTGAAAGGCAAGCTGAAATTAATTAGCAAGCAGAAATGATGCATGAATAGAGTTACATGAAGTCAGTTGGCATCAAGAACAGAATGGAGAGAAAATGTCAAGAGCAGCAGAGATATCATGAAGAAGAAAGAGATCAGCCAGCCTCTGAAAGTAAGATAGCAGATGCTGCCTCAGTTCCTGTTACAGTTTCTGTCAAGTCTGATCTATCACAGTTACTCTTCCTGCATCCTGTAAGATCTCCATCTACCATATATTTTCCTACAGTAACCCCTGTTTTCTTGAGCTAATGCAAGTGAGTTATTGTAGCTTATAAACAATCAAAATCCTTAAACTCTAGTTGTTCTGGTCATAATGCATGAATTGGCAGCTCTCTTCCAGAATTAGTTGTAAAGAAAGTCTTAATCATGGAATTTCAGTGTTTGAAAAGCTTTTGCAGGTCTTATATCTATTTCATGTATAACCCTCTTCGTAATTCCCTGCTGAAGTTGTTAGTGACAAGCTCTTGAATATTCTGTATGGTAATTCAGTCCATTTTCTGACAACTCAAAATGTTAAAATTGTTCCATATAGTATTAAAGCTGAAATCGTCTTCTCTGCAACTTGGACCTAATTGAACCTTTTGGGCCAATCCCATTTTCACATGGCAGACTTCCTGGTAATGACAACAGCTGTCGTGCCTCTTAAGTCTTCTCACTTGGCTGAGTATGTTCATGTCCTTGCCTACCCACAGTTGCTCCTTTCCGTAGCATGGTGATGAGCACTCCTCATCTTCCTAGGAGCCTTACCAAGGACACACTCTGGATTGCCTGTATCTGTCTTAAAATGTAATCATAAACCAACCAAACAAAAAAATCCAATCAAACAAAAACACTCCAAAGGAAAAAAAGAAT